ATCCATGCACCCAAGAGCCCAAGTTCCGGAACAAGAGAAGCCACCACAATGAGAAGCCGGAGCACCACAACCAGAGAAAAAATTCGAGCAGCAACGAAGACCCAGTACAGCCAAAAATAAATGATAAATAAATAAAACTTTTTTTAAAAAAAAGAAAAAAATATCAGAAGCCTGCCCAAATTTAAGGTGGAAAGGGACTGGCCACAGCCCAGTTTGAGGATTGTTAGATTGGTCCTTGGGTGGCTCTAAGGATTGGATCCAGCGGACAGCAGTCCTTTCCAGTGGATCCCACTGCCCCATAGAATGGCAGGCTCTTGGAGAATTGGGCTGACCAGGGTCAAGATTTTTCCCTCACCTACTCACTACTTCATGACATTAAAAGTTCTTTGAATGAAGAACAAGTCTAAATTGCAAACACTCTCAGGAAAGAGAGTTGAGTGACTTAGCTCCATTTCTGAGAGGAGGAAATGCCTTACTCTGCCAGACTAGACAAAACTAAAGTGAACCCCAAGAAGGGCAGTGGGGATGGTAAAAGTATTTCTGACCCCCAAACCCAGGGATGATGTGGAGAAAGCCCACTTAGCCATACCCAGGTCCCAAAGACCTCTGAAGCTAGGTGAGGGTCTAAAAAGAGGATCTGAGACAGATAAGCATGAAGCCATGAGCTGGCAGAGTCAGTGAAGGAACCTGGTGCTGGGGGCAGAGAAAGGGCGGGCAGGGAAGGCTTCCAGGGGAAGGCAGTGAGTCAGAGGAGGAGAAAAATGAGACTGAGCAGGTCTCTGTGTAAAGATGGAATTGTCAACAGAGAGTGGGTGATGGCTGGGACGGGGCAGGGGGTGGGGGGGGGGTGAGGAAGGGGAGGGGCGGCAGCAGCTTTGGGGGAGCTCTCTGCAGAGGGTAGCCTTTTGAGATGATGGCCAGAACTCTGGGTCTTAAGAGCAGGAAAGCAGGTTATATTTCACATCCTTCTCTGAATAGAGAGATTGGATTTGGTCAAGAATAAGTCCCTAGGAAGCAATTGTGAGCACCCCGCCCATCCATCTTGTTGATGAATATGGAGTGGGAGCAAAGTTAGGAATGTGGGCGTCTGACAGGTCTTTATGATTCTAGAATCACTTATTACACCTTCTTCCTCCTCCTCTGCCTTGGCTAATGGGCTGTGGGTACCCACTGCGCAGAGGGCAGCAAAACTCTCATTGTGGGTAACGCAGAAGCTGGGTCCTGCCCTCCTGGCCTTCTGAGGAAACTACTCTTTTGAACTGGTTTGTTTTTTCAGCCCTAGAAGGACTGAACCTTCCCACCTCCAACTTCTGGGTTCCTCCAAATCCTTCATAGCGAGCAATCCTGAGAACCGGAAGTCTGGTCTGTTCCCTAACATCAGCCTTCCTGGTGCACGGCTGTCTCATTGCCTCTTGCCCAGAAAGACAGTTTCTGGATGTACCTTTCTCAGCAATCCAGCTTCGCCTCCTGGGACCCTCATCTTCGAGGCTGGCACCATCATCGGGTCAGTCACGTTGGGCTGGGAATCTGGGAATCATCCTGGATTCCTCCATCCCATCAACCTCTCTGAGCCAATACTTACTGAGCATCTTCAATGAGGTGGGCCCTGTTCATGGTGCTGAAGACCACCAGGTACAAAACAAATCCCTGCCCTTATCAGCTTGCGAATCAGTGACCTGATGTGTGGGTTCCACTTTCAGAATGTGTTACCCTCTTTCCCACTGTTACTGTCCTCAGTACTCCCAATCACTTGGAACCCTCTGGTTAGTCGCCAGGGTGGTCTTACAAACCCAAGTCTACCTTTGTCGGTGCTTTGCCAAAACCTCAAATGAAGACTTACCTTTTAAAAATTCAGAGTGAAAAAATCGAGTTATAAATTATATCATAACAATTGGATGGTTTTTTAAGAAGCACTGAAGCAATATAGTATGCTATTCATGGATCTATGTATGTGGTTAAAAGAAACAAAAAACAGAATTCATGATGGTGGGACCTTGGGTAGGAAGGAGAATGGTACTAGGAAGGGAAAAAGGAGCTTCAATTTTATGTCATGACCTGTTTTATTTTTAAAAACTCCAGAGCAAAGTTGATGAAATGTTAGTAGTAGCTTAATAAAGCTTGAAGTCTGGATGGTGGGTACAAGAGTGTGACATTATTCTATTGTTTTGAATTATAGAAAAACTTTTCAAAATTTAAACCATAAAATCCTCAGGAGTCCCTCACTGTCCCCACTCCTTTAAAAGACTACCATCTTTGGCCTTCATAAACTTGCTTCAACCTATTCTTTACAATGAAGGACTGGCCGTTTCCCAAAGATGCCACAGGTGCCCTGGCCCTGGGCCTTCATCCAGGCTGCTCTCTTCTCCCGAATACCCTTTCCTGATTGCTACTTCGCCCCTGCCCCCTGGTTGGTATAGCAAGCTGGTTAGGACTGGGAAGGTAGAAACATTATGGGGAAGACAATTCTTAATTGACCTAGTTTGTATGTTGCTGCAGCCAGCGAGACAGATTACCTGTTTCTTTTTATTTAAAATCTGGTTTGTTTCAAAACTGCTATCAGTGAGAAGGAGGTGGAAAGAGTAAGACCCTCCACAGAGCTTTCCTGCCCTCCCCTCTCCCTCAAATAACCCAGCCCCGAGGCAGAAGCTTCCCAACAGAAAAAGGAAAACTGATAACCTCATTCCCTGGTCTGGCTTTGTTAGGATTATCATCTGGTGTTCCCTGCTGCTGCTGGGAGAGCTGCTTTAGTGCAGACCAGTGCCATCCCCTGCCTAGAGGGAAGAAACTTGACCGGAGCCTGATTTGACCACAGCTCCTGGTGGGATGCTGAACAGGCACACAGACAGGCCCAGAACACCCTGCCATGCTGAGCTGATCTGTCCCTGATTTCCATGCACCCTTCAGGATAGCTTTTGTGTTGCCTCCCCACATCCTCCTTGCATGCCTCCTTACAGATCAGAGTAGGTGCCCCTTCAATGGCAACTGTCCCTTCCCCTTCATAGCACACATCACCCTGAATTCTAACTGCCTCTTATGAACCTGTCTCTTGTATCAAGTCTTGCTCTCCGAGAAGGCAAGGGCCAAGTCTGTTTGTTTACTGTTGCATCTTTAGTGCCTGCAACTTTACCTGGCTCATAGTAGATGCTCAAGACCTTTTTTTGAATGAGAATGGTCTCTGTTACTAGACTGTGAGTATCTTGTTGACAAGGACTATGCTCTGATTATCTGTGGATCCTCAGTGCCTTGTGTAGTGCTTGGCACATAGTACATGCTCAATAAAAGCTCCCCCATTTAAGTGACTGGAACTTGGTTTCTCCCTTTACAAGCTGGGTAGAGGAGAGAAATTTGCTTCTCTCTCTCTTCTCCCTACTGTGTTAGGGCTGGTGGTTGAAGCTGTGGGACCCTTCCTTCCTTCAATGACCACAGATCCAAACATTCTAATGGTACAACAGAAAGTGCTAGTGAAGTCCTTGGGTCCCAATATCTCTCCTACTGACCACCCCAAATGTGGGTGAACTCCTTCAGAGAAGGGGTGCTTCAGGGCTCCTCCCCACTCACTTCAATCTCTAGCATCATCAAAGAGCCCAGGGAAATTTAATTTTCACCCCTTCTTTCTAATCCCAATAGCATTTGTAGTTTATACTTGTTCCCCCATACTGTTTGTGTGAATTCTGTCTCTTTAACCATACTACATAATCATGCACTATTTTAAACAGGTTTAATAGATGATCCTTGCAAATTAACAAGAAGAAAACAACACATACCAAGAGAAAGCAGAAGAGGATGAGGATGTTTTCTTCTTTTGTTTTAACCTAGAATTTGTCATCTGGTGCTTGCAAGCTCCTTAGTACAATAAGAAGTGCACTTGATTTCTGCAAAACATCTGAGGAGGCATAAAGTACCCACTCCAATATTCTGGCCTGGGAAAGTCCGTAGACAATTTTGTTGTTGTTGTTTAGTCACTCAGTCGTGTCCCACTCTCCTGCCACCCCACGGATAGAGGGTCACATGGACAGACAGTCCATGGGGCCGCAAAAGAGTCAGACACGACTTAAAGACTAAACAACAACGATAACAACAACAAAAGTACCCTGGAATAAAGACCATGTCTTTAATTTGTATTATTTTTCTAATTCCTCCACTCTAAAGAGTTTGCCAAAGTCCTCTGTTTAAGCCCTGAGTGTTAATTGGTTGATTTAGCTTTGGGTTGTTGTCCACTGAGATCCCTGGATCCTTTTAAGCCAAAGAGTTACGCCCTCCGATGGAGAAACATACAGGTGGTGGAAGGCCTTTAAATGTGACCCGTGAGAGGTGGTTTTCCTGGGCCTCAGTCTCCAGGCTCCGAGTGTAAGGTGGGAGGGGAGTGAGGAGAGACGACAAACGTACTCATATAAACTGAGCTGGCAGTTCGGGGTAGGGCTGGGGGAGTGGGGAGAGGGGAAGAGAGGAGTCTGGGCGAAGGCCAGAGGTGGCTCCCAGGGGAGTCCTCAGAGCGGGCAGCCGGACGTCGCTCCATCCTTCCCGCCTGACGGATGGGTCTGCTGCTCAGGCACAAGCTGTCAGGCCAGGCCGCTGCCAAGGCAGAACAGTGGCGCTTCTGTGAGCGCTACTCCGCGCCTGGAGAATGGGGCCCTCCAGGAGAGTGATGGAGAAAGCAGACGTCCCCGGGCAGGAGCCGTGAGGGGCGGGGCCCCAGAGCCGCTGGGCCACAGGAAGCGTGTCTGCCTCCCCGATACGGGGGCCACAGGAGAGCAGCAGAGGTGGGGTGGCAGGCAACCGTGGGGGGAGGCGGCGGGGATAGGGTGGGGGTGGGGATACAATTTGGGCTTGCTGTAGTTGGGGGTTGCTGTTGGCCCGAAGAAGAGAGGCAGAAGGAAGGACGCCGAGGAGGGCTGGGGTGAAGAATTCGGTCCTTTGGCCAAAAGCCCCCGCCCCTTTAATAACGCGAGCCATTTGCCTTCAGTTGCACGGTGTTTGTTTCCGGTCAGACGCCCAGAAACCTTCCCATCTCTTCCCGGACCCCTTCGCCTCCGTCAGCTCTGCCGGCATCTCCCGCCGGGTCCTCCACGCGGGCGGGATCCCTACGGCTCTCGCTCGGACCTGGGGATCCACGAGGCTCCGCGATCCGCTCATGGCCGGGCTCCGACCCCGCCCGGCAGCCGCCTCCCCCTCAGCGTTAATTAAAACTTGCGAGATGGAGAGGCTGGCGCGGGCGGCTCCGTTTTATTTGCAGCATCTTTCATGCTGCTGACGATCGTAAAGGGCTTTAATATTGAAATATGGGCCATTTTCCCAGCTCCAGCCCTCGCCGCGCGCTCCCTACACCCCCACACCCAGCCACCCCGCGCTTGATGAAAGAGCCCCTGCAAATCCATTAAGAAGAGATAATTGAAAACTCCGGGGTAATATTTAAGGCCGCGCGCCGACGCGGGGCGGAAGGCCCGGCTGCGCCCGCCGTGCCCATGAGTGCCGGTGTGCGTCGGTCCCCAGCGCTCCAGACCGCCCAGGCCCTGCGGCCTTTGCCTCCGCGAGGCCACATCCCGGTACTCGCCTCCCTCCCAGCTCTCAACCGGTCTGCTCTGCGCTTCCTTGGCTCTGAAGAAGACTTGCCTCGCGAGACTCCTACTTCCATAAAGTGACAAGTCACACTTGCGAAAGATAGCTCAGGGGCACGTGTGCTACGACACAGCTTGGCCTCACTGGTCCAGCCCGAATTTGATGCATAGGTCTGAGGAATTGCTTAGTGGCTCTGGGCATTGCATTCTCTTCTGTCTACAGTGTTCCTCCTGCACTTGGCTGTTCCTCCATCAAAACGAGCCCGACAAGATCCAAAGTAATGATGCCCCTCGCGGTGTGGAGGGGGCAGGAGAATATTACCCCATGATTGAACCGGAAGTGATCCTTCCTGCACCTAGTGATGAGGATACAGTGGCTTATACCATAGTGTTCCACTTATATTCTCAATCTTCCATAACAAACATTTTTACAAAGTAGCTCAAATATCTTCCTTTCACTTCACCCCTTGGCTACCTGTTGTCCTGTACATTACTGACCCTTCGCACTTTGTGTTCCCGTTACTGTTGAAAATCTATCCCCCACTAGGCTATGACAACTTGAGGAAAGGGATCAGGTCTAAATTCCTTCCTCAGTCCTGCTCCTGGGTGAGGCCCAAGTATATAATATGTGCTCAGTAAGCAGCACTGAGTTGACGGCTGTCTCTCTCCTCGAGGTCTCCAGGGTTTGCAGACCAGGATGCTAGCACTTGGGGAAGGGGGCCAGAGGATGGAAGAGAGGCAGGGTCTGCAAGTCTGGGTCACTGTTAATGTCTGTTTCCCACAGTGACTGGCTCCAGGCTGTTCCCAGTGTGGGATGAAGGGGTGGGGGAAGGGCTGAGGACCCTGCTGTGCGCTGTGGTATAGGAATCCACAGGTTTCTACCAACGTCCTTTGGGTGGTGGGGGTTCTCTACCCCATTTGGTCAGACTCTGTGTCAGACTAGTTCTGCTAGGAGTTAGGGTCTGCTGTGACTGTGAGTGCACTCTCTGTCTTGGGTGGGGAGGAGATGAGAAGAGAAGAAGGGAGGAAGCTTATTTTGTGCAAAAGGCACAAGTGGTTTGAGCATTTCCATCCATCCCCACCTGGCCTCCTACCTTCTGCTGGGCCTTTCACCCCTCTTGCTTGAGACCTCCCCACTACAGTGCCCAGCACTGTACACACAGGAAGGCACCATTAAGGGGGGTGCTGTTCCTGCTTGGATCCCACCCCCACCTTGGTCCCTGAGGCCACAGTGGCAGATGCTCCATATGGCCAGTATGAGGCATATCCTTCCAGCTCTCCAACTCAAGAAGTCCTTGTTAGAACCATGAAACATCAAAGCTGGAAGGTGCGAACAGACATTGGGTCTAGACCTTTCCTAATATCTTTGGGGGCAGCTGAAACCCAGAAAGGGGATGTGTGTGTGTGTGTGTGTGTGTGTGTGTGTGTGTGTGTGTGTGTGTGTGTGTGGACTCTGAGGACAGAACCAATGCTGGATGGAACCCCAGCAAGTTAGTGGCGGAGTTCGAATGCCAATCCCTTGACCTACAATTAGTGTTCAGGGGTTTTTTGTTTTGTTTTGTTTTTATTTTTCAGCCATGCCACAAGGTATGTGGGATCTTAGTTCCCCAACCAGGGCTTGAACCTTCATCCCCTGCATTGGAAGTGTGGAGTCTTAACCGGTGACTGCCAGGGAAGCTCCTGCAAACATTATCTCACTGAATTCTCACAAACCTATGGGATTGTATTATAATTCACCTACACATGGGGAAAATGAGGCTCAGGGAGACGAGCCATCTGTCTAAGTGACGCACTGCTAAACAACAGAGCCAGGATCTGAAACTTAGCTTGACAGGCTCAAACTCCAGTGCATATTTCTCCAGTGACCCCTTCCTCCATCACCCCCCACAACACACACACACACACACACAGATACATACACACACACAGCCATGCTGGGCTGGTTTCCCAGAAACTCACTCTTCATCCCTGGAACATCCCCAGTCAGAGATCATTTCACCTCCCCAGCCCAGCGCAGGGCTCTTTGCCCCAAATGGAGTAGCTGGTGGTGTTCCCGCTGTGGTCTTGGGCATGGGACTCCATGAGCTGAATCCGTGCAGAGCCTGGCCTCCTGCACACAGCCCTGCTCCTGTCTGTGGCCACTGAGGCCTCTGCCATAAATCCCCAGGTCTCAGCTCATAACCATTAGCAAGCGATTGGACTCATCAGTATGTGCTTATGAGACTCAGGTCAGATAAATGGATTGCCGGAGGTCAGGAACAAGGGATCTCTTCACCCTGCCTTACGCCAGAGGTGGCCCCGCCCCCATCCAGAGACTGGTAAATTCCTCTTGACTTACAGCTTCAGTAAGAAGAGGGGGTGTTATAAAGATGTATTCTAAGTAATACACATTCGTGGGAAGAAAATGGCCTGGAGATATAAAACCTCAGTTGTCTCATGGTCACTGAGGCTGGAGTTACCTACACACTCACACACACAGAGCACACCCACAAACATGTACACTCTTACACTCCATCTTGGATCAAATCCAGATTCTTCAACAACCACCCCCAACCCTGCCCACCCCAGGGCTGGCCTCACACTGTCCCACCTTTGAGGTGTTCTCTGGATCAGCACTTCTTAAACACCCTGTGCCTACTAGGCATGACCAAGGGTCTTGTTCAAATACAGATTCTGACTCAGTAGATCTACACTGGAACCTGAAATTGTTTTTCCAGTCAGTTCCCAAGTGAGGCCACTTCTCCAAGGATGTTAAACAATGGTCCTCCCCTATTGAACGAGTAGGAGGCGGGGGAGATGAGGGTGTATAGTTTGGAAGAGCTCCCCACGCCCACCCCCTAGAGACGCACACTCGGGCACTGAGCCAGTTCTAGAATGCTGTTCTCTCGCTCTTCACATGGCTCCTTCTTCCCCCTCTGATATCAGCCTAAATCCTCTGCTTCCCCAAAGAAACCTTCTCTGACACCCCTCAGTGTAATGGGGCCCCACTCCACCAACTTACTCTACCCTCTTCTTAGCAGGTATCACAACTTGCGTTTATATATTTACTTACTTATGTTGGGGGGAAGTCAGTCTCATCCCCTGAAATGTAAGGTCTCAGAGTTCAGGGATCATGCCTGCCCTGTTCACACATGAATGCTCAGCACCTGCTGCCTGGCGTGGAGTAGACACTCATTAAATCTTAACAAATGAATGAATGAACGAATGAAGCACTTTCCTGATGATAAGTGGTATGGGAAAGAGTATCTGAATGAGGGGCTGAGGTCATAGACAATTAGAGAAAGCTTCTTGAAGGAAAATGAGAAGCATGGTATGAAAGACTTGGTATATATGACGTGAGGAAAGGGGAGAGGCAAGTGCATCCGGGTAACAAGTTGGTCTTGTTGGTCACACCTGGCGTGACAGGGGTGGGGGAGGGTCCTGAGAGAAAGTTCATCGAAGTCGGGGCAGGTGCTGCAGGGTCTTGAACGCCATGGTGGGCAACAGGAAGGCTATGGTCCTCTCCACACCTCATGGGCAGGGACCTACACTTATTCTTTCCTGTGCCTGACAAATTCTTCCTGAGCCTGTGTCACATGCCAGACACTGCTGGGTGCACATCCAGGGATGAACACAATGGCTCTGATTCCTGCCCTCATGGGGCTGACAGTCTATCAGGAGAGACTGAGGTTAAACAAACTAAATCATTAGAGTTGGGCTAAGTCTGCAAAGAAGTACATGATGAGGGACGTGATGGTCAGAAGAGGGGCTTCCCTAGGGGATGACAGTCACCAGAGTCTGAGGGGTGGGGTTTGTCCTCACCAGCCCCCAGTCTGCCTCAGCACTCGCCCTGGACTTCCCGCATTCCATGGCACTGCCCCTTTAAGAGGCGCGCCTCTTTCCCGAGCAAAGGAGGTTCTGGGCACACAGCCGAGCCTGCCAAGGTTGTGGGTTATAAATCAATGCTGGCACTCCCTTGGCAGTGGGCTCTCCTCTGAGCTGCCCAGATGGCGGGCAGGCCTGGGGCTCCAGGGGCAGCGAGACACATGAGAAGGGGGAGGAGGGCAAGGTGGGGACACAGCTGGGCCCTGGGCCCCAGTGGCAGCTGCCCACCTCTGCCTAAGGGCCTTGGGCCGGAGAAAATGCCAAGGTCCTTCTCTGCTGATTGCAGGGACTTTCTGACTCCTGAGTCACAGGCTGGCACTGGCCTTCGGGGTTGTTGCCTCACCCCTGTCAGTGACCCAAGCCTCACAAACACCCTCTGAGACCAAGGGTCATGGATTTTCCCTTTGGGATGACCTCTTGGGGTCACAGGCAGCTCCAGTATCCAACCTGAAAGTTCTACCTGTGGTCTGACCCTCTTCCCTCTTGCTGTAGCCAAGAAGTGCTCTTCTACATTCCCTGAAGGATAGCAACTTCCCATTTGGGGGTGGGGGGTGGGAGGGCTTTGGGGCTCTGATTACATGGTCCCCTCTGCCTTCACTTTACACCTCCCAGAAATGCAGGATAGGAAGGTTTCTCAAGGTTAAACAGAGAGGGTGGAACTCTGCCCTCTTGGGGGTTGCCATCCCTCAGCCACCCTCACAGGTGCTGTGACAG